TCTTTTGTCTAAATAAAAAGAAAAGGCTTTTAACTCTAACACAGTAAAACTACATATAATAATAACAATTATTGTACAAATAAAAAGGGAAGAACTTAACTTTAGCAAAGCAAAACTATATACAGTAAGAACAATTTTCAAGTAAGAATTATATTCATAGTGTCCAGTCCAGATGCATTTTGCAAATTTGTAGAAAGTACTATATTATCTATCTGACTTAGTGAGTCCAAAGTTTTATACCTAAATCATTTTTTAATCATATCTTATATTACCAACCTAAAAATATCTTTTTGGACAATAGAACATGCTGTTAGATAAACAATTCAAATTTTTATGTCTCTCAACCTTATACATTTTATATCTTTTTTGTAAGTTTCTTTTCTGAATTTGGTAACAAAGAAAACTGTAACTAAAACTATCTCATTTTCAACTCCATCAGAGACCTGAGAATAAAGTATTGAGTAAATAGGAAGTTTAGAACAAACCACTTCCAAAACTAAAAAACAACAGAGATATCTGACTGCCTGAACAGTCACTCTAAGGTTCCTCTGCAACATTAGGACATCTGTCTTCAGTCTATGGGTCTAAAATTATGACAGACTTTTCTGTAAAGCAGGAATTTTGAAGGACTGTCCTGTCTTGTATTGGCAAAGTTTGGCAGTTTTCTTCTTTTGTGTCCTGTCGATTTAGACAGCATATTGTCAGCACTCGAAGTAAAAGCAGTTTCTTGCCCAAATGGCTAGCTTTTGCCACAAAGAAAGCAAACTCCATGTGGTGGTTCTTCAATCCCCACTATCCTTTTTTGAAGTAAATTAGTGCTGTGAAGAATGAGTAGACAAGTCTCACTCTCATGAAAAGCCTTAAATTTTTTATTTTTTGAGATAGAGTTTCTCTATGTAGCAGTCCTAGTTGTCCTGGAACTAGCTTTTGTAGATCAGGTTGATCTTGAATTCACAGAGCTCTGCCTGCCTCTGCCTCCCAAGTGCTGGAATTAAAAGTGTGTGCCACCACTGCCCAATTTAAAAAACCTTATGTTATTAAAGCATTTTAAATGCCTTATTCTGTAGGTCTTTAAAGTGTCTGAAAATCACCTATCTAAAATATATATAAATATATGTGTATACATATTATATACAACTATATAAACAAACTTAACATGACTATGAGTTTGACTGTTACAGATAACTAACTATTAATATGTATTTCTGTATTATCCTAAATAACTTTCAAGGACTAAAACTTTACATTTTTTAATGAACTACATAGGTACAATACCTTAAACAAAAAGAAAAACATTTATATAGTATAATAAAAATAACCTTAAATTGTATCAATATACAAAATCCATTCCAATATAAAACATTTTAGACTAGTGTTTGTTCAAATTAGACTCAACAGTCTGCTCTTTTATTCCACCATTTCTATACTATATTCCCCTTTCTCCCTTTAGAAATAGATTCCTGAGTCTGATCTCTTTTGTTTAGCTTTCTCCCTGACCATGACCAGGAAAATTTGTAACCAACCTTTTAAGTTGAGAGCATAGCCTCCAGCCCCTGGCATCCAACCCAGCTCCCAGGTCTGGAAGTTGCTTTGTTCTGGACTCGAAATTCCAGCATGCCCACAGGGTATTTAAGTGTGCTCCCAGAGGAGAAACACGTGGTTTTTGGGTCTGCATGGGCTCCTTGCTGTCCTGTCTCCCCACTGTGCACTCGGCCACCCAAGAGCATCATTCTTAATAAAACAATGGGTATCTTGATTCAGTTTGATTTGACCTAATTGGACTTTCTTGTGCTGGCAGAGATGCCTATTTTCTTATTATTTTTCTTAACACAGTCCCCCTAAATCATGACAAACATTTATAACCCACAAAATGATCAAAAATTAACCATCCCACCTCTTGGGAATATAGGTGTTTTATCCTCTAGACTGCTTCCTGTTGTCTGGGAGATATGGAACCTGAGAAAATTGAGATAATGGTCAAGTCCTGGGAAACCTAGCCATAATCTTTGTGGCTCAGTCTTTGTGCAAAGGGAAAGCACAAGGTCTATCTGCAGTCCTGGCTGGAATAGTCTGGAGGCTAGGCCATCTCAGGCAACAACTTTGAATGAAGCTGTTCTGGATGCAGAACTCTGAAGAAACTGCAACAGAGGCACTCTGAGAGGCTGGGTCACCTGGGCCACCTGTTTTCGTTGGTGTCTGGTCCCTTTGCTCTAAAAACACAGACTTTCAAAGGTAGCATACGTATCTGGATTAACATAAGCATTGTTACCAGTGTTGTACACTGCTGCCCAAAGACGATCTTTTGTTTTATGTCTGAGCAGGTAAATATACGCCACCTCTCTTGTAGTTTGTTTTGGAATTTTTTGGGGTTTATTTCTTCATATTTGTAGTCAAGATTTTCAGGAGGTTTCTGCCTATAAAACCTGATTCTCTTTAACCTTGAAGGAATTCACAGCCTTTTGTTTGCTATAGAAACAAAAGCATAACCTCTCCTCTGATGCAATACAATTTTGAATTCCACTTTAAGGTTAAGGCATTCCTAACGTAGCTAGGATGGTTTAATTCAGCAGTTCCTCTTCTCTCCAACGTCTCTCAGAAGTTTTTGTTGCTCATCAGCAATAAAAAAATTTAAAGTCAACAAGACACCATACAGGATCCAGACTTTCTGTGTATTTTCCATTGTTACATGACTTATCATTTTTATACTATTTTATTCTCTGTAAAGACTTTATCTTATTATTTATAAACTACTTTTTCTATGACTGTCTATACTCATTTTTCTTTCTTTTTTAAATCTATGCACATTTTTTAAAACACATTGTAACATGTTTAGAGGTTCTTTTTCCTTCTGGATCTGTCTTTACTGAGCCGCTGCAGTGTTCTCTGGTCACATGAGACAAATCTTAAACTGTTATGTCTGCTGTTGTGTGGCTCAGCTTAGCACCTGGTGCTGGCACATGGTACTGGCCACTGGCTCCGGGCCACAGGTAGTGGCTGGTAGCCAAGTCTCTGCATACCACTGAGCCTACCCATGGTCACCAGGAAGCCATGTTTGACTCCAAGTTCTGAAATTTTTGTCTTTAAACATTCTTAGGCCTTATGTGGATATACATGGCCAGACATTGGACACCATATGTAGTCAGCCAGCTCATAAAAATCAACATGGAGACTTATTATTAATTATGAAAGCTTGGCCTTTAGCTTAGGTTTATCCCACTTGCTCTTTTTTTAAAATATTTATTTATTTATTTATTTATTTATTTATTATGTATACAATATTCTGTCTGTGTGTATGGCCAAAAGCCAGAAGAGGGCACCAGACCCCATTACAGATGGTTGTGAGCCACCATGTAGTTGCTGGGAATTGAACTCAGGACCTTTGGAAGAGCAGACAATGCTCTTAACCACTGAGCCATCTCTCTAACCCCCCCCCCCGACACTTGCTCTTATAACTTAAAAAAATCCATTTATGTTCATCTACATTTGTCTCTTGGCTTTTTACCTCTCTTCCATCTTGTACCTCCTGTTTCTTCTCAGTGTCCTCCCGTGTCTCTTCTGCATCTCCATTAACCTCCTCTTCCTCTCTCTCCACCCAATCTCTTCCTGCCTAGCTATTGGCCATTCAGCACCTTGATAAAGGCACATCTTCACAGTGCACACAAAGATTATTCCACAACACTCGGCCCCTTTTTCCCTCTCTCTCTCTCTCTCTCTCTCTCTCTCTCTCTCTCTCAAAATCATAATGCAAAAAAGCAAAAAGTCATCAACAAAATAAAACAGAAAGTACACACAAAAGAACTTCTAGTCCACTTTTCTACTCCTGGGAATAGGGCTCACCCAGGAGTGTTACTGACATAGTTAGCGATGCTTCATTGGGAATTTTTGGTTGATTTAGAGGCTTTTTAAATGTAGAGGAAAAAAAAGCCTATATAGTGGCGTGGAGGAATGCTGCTTACTACCTGCTTTCTTATACAACTCAGGACCACCTTCCCAGGGATGGCAAACACTCACAATGGGCTGGTCCTCCAATATCTGTCATTAATTTTAAGAAAATGTCCCACAGGCCTATCTGAAGCATTTTCTCAAGTGAAGCTCCCTCTTCTTAAGTGGCTCCAGGTTGTGTCAAGTTGCCAAAAACACTATCCAACACAGCTATTTTCTACATGCCAAGCTAGTAACACCTGCAAGTTCAGAACCAATGTGTTTATAAATTGCAACTTTATTTTAAACTGATCCCTCTTGGACAGAAATCCCACAGATGGATCAGGGCTCAAGGTGGGGGGATTTGAGTGGGAAAGGAGAGTTTCTCTTCCTTGAAGCCTCATGTACTTCAGGCCCAGAGCAAAAACCAAAAGGCAATTGGCAAATACAGTCATTTTCTCATTAATCCAATAGCTTTGTCAATCCATGCTCGGTTTCCTGAGTGGTGTCTGCACCCGCTGTGGACAGTTCAGTGTTCTAAAACACTGGGTTCTCTCTATTACTAAAATCTGTTTTAGCAACAGTTAACTCAGGAAATATTTTTGGATCTATGGTGACTTTGAAATGAGCAAGATTTTCAAATGTACTTATGAAAGCATGTCTAGAAAAAAACTAAATACAAAGGGCTAGTAATGACACCAAAGTGTCTTGTAAATTTCAATCAAATACTGAGCTAGAATGTTTAAGTCGTTTTATATGTGGATTATAGAGCAATTTTTCCTATTTCCTTATACATAAAATGTGAGCAATAATACCTCATAAGATCTGAGAGTATTTATAAGAATTGTGTGGAAAGTGTGGGATTTTTAAAGTGCTATTTACTTGCTGCTGGTATCAACGTCATTGTTGATTTATCTTCTTTGCAGTTCAAACATCCTCCAGTCATAAACAGACATTTCAGAATTGTGCACTCCTCCTGGACTACAAACGCAGCCCAGACTGGGTTTCCCAGAATGGGAGTCCATATTTGAATGCTTTCTTCTCCAGGGACTTACTTGAGAGAGAAGAGGAAACTGCAGTCACCTGATCTTGGTCCCTGTCTTTAGGATCTGAAGAAGCCTGTCTCGGATCTGCTTGGTCCGAACAGCATAGACAATGGGATTAAGGATCGGGGGAATGAGGAGGTAGAAATTGGCCAGCAGCGTGTGGATTGGCGGAGGCACGCGGTGACCAAACCGGTGAATGAGGGAAGAAACAGCAATGGGAATATAGAAAATCAGAATGGCACAGATATGAGAGCCGCATGTCCCCAGGGTTTTAAGCCTGGCCTCAGGAGTGGCCAGGCCCATCACAGCTCTAAAAATCATTACGTAGGAGGCAGCAATGGCCACTGAATCCAGGATCAACACCAGAAAGCCAATGCTCAACCCATAGACATTATTGACTCTGCTGTCACCACAGGTCAAGGCAACCACAGCCATGTGCTCACAGTAGGAGTGAGAGATGACTTGGGTTTTATAAAGAGGCAGTCGCAGGCGGATCATAATCGGTAGAGGTCCAATGTAAAGAACTCCTCGGAGGAGAGCAGCCAGCCCCAAACGACCCACCACGGCCTGGGTGAGCACCATGCTGTGTCGCAGTGGGTTGCAGATGGCTACATATCGGTCAAAAGCCATGGCAAGGAAGATGCCTGACTCAACAGTAGCAAAGCAATGGATAAGAAACATTTGGCATAAGCAGGCATCCAGGCCAATGCCGCCAGCACCAAACCAGAAGATTGCCAGGAGTCTGGGCATAGTGGAAGTAGACAGAACCAGGTCAATGACAGCCAGCATGCACAGAAAGAAGTACATGGGCTGGTGCAGGCTGCGTTCTATCCTTACCACAGCTAAGATGGTGATGTTCCCCACCACAGCCACCAAGTACATGGAGCCAAAGGGGATGGAGAGCCAGATGTGCAGGGACTCCAGCCCTGGGATGCCGGTGAGCCAGAAGGAGCTGGGTACTGAGCAGGCATTTTGAAAAGAGAGCATTTCTATTTATAAATAAATCTCATTTATGTCCCCAAATGCAACAACACATTTTCCCCTGGAAAGAAAAAAAAAACAACAGTATTCTTGGACATATAATAAATATCATAAAATATACAATGATACACAACTTTTACAAGAAACTGTAACATTTCATACTACATTGAATTTCATGTTGCATTAAAGTATCCATGTAAATTTAGCAAGCATAATAAAAAATCTGTGTTTGAATGAATGGATGAGTTTTACAGTATAATCCTCAATGAGTAATACTTTACATCAATAAATGAATTACCCTGAGGCAGGAGTGAACTCAATTGGTAATTTCTCTCTCTGGGTATACTATGAAGTGGTTTGGAGGGTCATATTAGAATGATTTTCTAATGTCCCATTAAGGAAGCAATCTGCTTGTCAAGAGACAATACTGGGTGAAGGTTGTGCCCCGATAGGCTGTTATCTAATACACACAGAGGACACACGGATGCTTGTGGAGTCAGCTGAAGGGGCCATTTGCAGAGGCACAGCCAGCCTCGATGGGATTATGAAGGATGCAGATGAGCAGTGAGCATGGTTACTAGCCCAGGTGTACTTGGCAGAACACATGGGGGACCACTTTCCAAGAGCTGAGGCTTTTGGTAGAAGAAAAGCCTCCCATCCTGAACATGCCTGGTGGGAAGGGCAGGTGAGAACAGCGTCTGGTTTCTGCTATTGCCCCTCTCTCTCTTCCTGGTTCCTCATACTGGCAGGGCCCGGCTGGAAACAGGGCTGTTCTTCACAATAACCACTCCTTAAAGAAAGCTCCCTGGAGGTGAGGTAGAAGCTCAGACTTTCTAGACTCTGCGGTAAATTAATCTGGGAGCCATCACTAACTGTCTGACTTTCCTTGCTGGTTACAGCCAGCAGCTCTTCACAGCAATCTTTCAAAGCTGCAGCCTGAAGGCTTGTTCTGGGAGTTGCATGCCATGTCCCATTCATTTGATACCAGGGTGCAAAATTAAGAATATGTTCATCAAACCTCAAAGAACTTGGAGCTATCCATCCCAGGGAGCAGTGGTAACAGTACAGTTGCTGCCCTGTAACTTTGTACTTCTGTCCATAAAGTGGGCTCACCCACAAGCTCCACAGAGATTGTTAAACAGACCTAGTGTTAGCAATGCATACAAAGACAAATGATGAGTCTACCATTGGGCTGGAAGGTAGGGTCCATCACAGCTGGCCTCTGAATTCACTGGACAGGGTAGAGCAGAGCCATGCCCGGGGTGAGTCTGTCTCAGTTCCCTGGCCCTATAGGCTGCCCCTATGGGTAACAGGATGGTGCATCCAGAAGGTAACCATTTCTGTGATCATCCAGAATGTCCTGTTTCCAGCCGGGCCCTGCCAGTATGAGGAACCAGGAAGAGAGAGAGGGGCAATAGCAGAAACCAGACGCTGTTCTCACCTGCCCTTCCCACCAGGCATGTTCAGGATGGGAGGCTTTTCTTCTACCAAAAGCCTCAGCTCTTGGAAAGTGGTCCCCCATGTGTTCTGCCAAGTACACCTGGGCTAGTAACCATGCTCACTGCTCATCTGCATCCTTCATAATCCCATCGAGGCTGGCTGTGCCTCTGCAAATGGCCCCTTCAGCTGACTCCACAAGCATCCGTGTGTCCTCTGTGTGTATTAGATAACAGCCTATAGGTGTACAACCTTTACTCAGTATTCTCTTGACCAGCAGATTGCTTCCCTAGTGGGACATAAAGTCTGAAAGAGGCCAGCCACAGGACTGAAAAACAGGAAAAACAGCTACAATGCGATGGCCAAGTCTAGAGAACCTTGTACATGACGTTGAGATTTATAATTAATGGAGATTTGTTTATTTCACCCCCTGCTTCTAATCAAATTACTTCATAGCTTGTGCAGGTTACAGTAAGCAGGACTTTAATGTGGAACTTAATAGCTTTGCTTTGCTTGAATGGAAAATACGCAGAACTGACAGATGAGTGCTTTCGTGCCCACAATTCTGCACGGCTGTTGCTACTATTGCATTGATGAGAGTTATTTCAGATCCTGTCTTCCCTCCCAGTGTCATGCAAGTCCCGCACTGCTGCCCTGGGGAGGAAAGGCCCTTTTAGGTTTGGGCAGACGAGTTGCACTGTAGAATCTTCCTCCCACTTCCCTATGTCTGAACACATACAGACCTGTTTTTCTGGATATCTCTCCTCCATTTTATCTCTCCATGCCAGCTCTTCTTAACAGCGAGAAAGGAGCTCAGGAGAGAGAGCTGTACCTCAGCTGCTGAGTGAGACTAGACAGAGCCAATCTTTTCTCCAGGGTCCTAACTAAATATCTCCTTATGCCCCTCGTCAGAAGCAAGCCATGTGTACCTTAATACCTGCAGGAGGGCAGGGTGCCTCTCATGGACGGAAGGGTTCAGTATTGACATTAAGACAGTCTCCCACCTGAGACCCCTATCCAGAGACATCCATAGCCAACCACAGCGGCTCTGATCCTCACCCTGTTTACTACTTTCCAATGGGAAGATGTTGGTTTGTGGGCTGTTCATGATCTTTTACGGCTGAGTTCCCCATGCTATTTCCTAGCACTGAGACAGTCCTACCTTCTTCACTTGAAAAATCCCTTGCTGTAATAATTAACATCGTAGGAAAGCCTGCTTTAATAGGCCTCTTCTGTAATGCAGAATCCTCTGACCTGCTGGTATGCTTGTTTCTCTGGGTATAACGCAAGTATCAGAGGCCAAGGGTTTGTCTGAAGCCTTCTCTACTAGAAATGCTTGCCTGGCCTGGTCTGCTGAATGAGAAGAAAGTGCTACGTCTCAAACACTGGAGATGTTAAGTGTTAAATCTTTGCTGGCACTGGCGTGTAAAAGATTTTCCAAGCACCCTCTGTGAGGCCACTAACCTTTTAGTCCAATTCCAGGAGCATCCCTTCCCTTGGTTTTACCGTGGAGACTTAAACAGAGGTGTGATCTAGAGTTGAATGCCCAGGAACTCCAAGTCTCCACCTCAGCTGCAAGTCTTCCTGGTAGTCAGTGCTCCTCTCTTGGTTACCCTTCCTAAGATGCTTTGATCAGGTCAGAAGAGCCCAAGACTCTCTAATGCTTCAGAGACTTATAAACACTCTGCTCAGCAGTCTTGGGAATACCGTCTGAGAGTGGTGGCGTGGCTGGGGCCCAGTGCAGAGGGTAATGCCCAGACTTGTCCCAGGAGGAGGAACAGAGAATCTGCTGTTTGCACAGCTCACCCACCACACCATGGCTGCTCTGGAGTGGGAAACAGGAAGGACACGGCTTCTGAGTTGCAATTTCTTAGATCTAAGTCCTGCTCTGTTCTCCTGTCCTGGCCTCCCTAGAAGATGTTCTAAGGATAGTATGCAGAAATAAGAAAGTCCTCCCAACTGAGTCTGCTTGGACTCAGAAGGGATGGGAGGTCCATATTTCTGAAAACTGTAAATCCCTGCATTCCTCTCTACAGTATTGGGGGTGGTGGTGGGGTCCTGAATTAATACTAAGGTATATTGAAGGACAATATCAGAAAAAATAGACTTTAGAAACTTTTTCCTATCTGTGGTTTACATCATGCAGGAAGGATCCCATGTGCTCATAAAGGAGATGGCCTACTACATGCACATTTATATGCACTAACATCACAAAGCATGCCATTCCTCATTTAAAAAAAAAAGGTATAGCCAAGCTGAGAATGCAGTCTCTCTCAGGGTATTCTAATGAGATGCTTAGGGTATGAGACAGAGAAACTCAAACTGTTCCAACTCTGTTTCTTCTAGTAGAAAATTAGATCATTTACCTCGTGCATAATTTTGTAACTTAGGTTCTTCTCCATAAGAGAGTTGGTGAACCAACCATGCTTAACCAGCGTTATCCCTCCCCATCACTAGTGTTCTTTCTGCATCTGTGGGAGACATCACTCTCCTGGGGCCAGCAGACACGAGCTTCCTCCTTCAGATCAGGATCAGGTAAGGTAGGGAAGAGGGCAATGCAGAAAAGTATATCCCCAGCTAGTTCCTTGGGCAGCTGAGGAGGGGGAGCTGAAATGGCCCTTTCCTATAGCCATACTGATGAATATCTTGCATATCACCATAGAAGCTTCATCTGTCGATGGATGGAGATAGAGACAGAGACTCACACTGGAGCACCAGACTGAGCTCCCAAGGCCCAAATGAGGAGCTGAAGGAGGGAGAACATGAGCAAGGAAGTCAGGACTGCAAGGGGTGCACCCACCCACTAAGACGGTGGGGCTGATCTAATGGGAGCTCACCAAGGCCAGCCAGACTGGAACTGAAAAAGCATGGGATAAAACCGGACTCTCTGAACATGGCGGACAATGAGGGCTGCTGAGAAGCCAAGGACAAAAGCACTGGGTTTTGATCCTACTGCATGAACTGGCTTTGTGGGAGCCTAGTCTGTTTGGATGCTCACCTTACTAGACCTGGATGGAGGGGGGAGGACCTTGGACTTCCCACAGGGCAGGGAACCCTGACTGCTCTTTGGACTGGAGAAGGAGGGGGAGGGGATTGGGGGAGGGGGGAGGGGAGGAGGCGGAAATTTTTAATAATGAAAAAATAAAAAATAAAATTAAAAAAAGAAAAGTCAGCGCAGGAAGGATGTGTTCTCTGCTCTCCTTCACGGCATCCTACTGATGCAGAACCTCAGGAGGTGGGAAGCTCGCAGCCTGCTGCGTTCCGAACAAGCTCTTTCGCTGCTTCTGAATCTTGGTTCAATATTCCCACCTCAGACAGATGAGCTCCGCCTTCGGTAAACTAAGCTTATCAGATGAGTCTTTCATAGCTGACTATTTTGTATTCAAGGCATTTTTAAGACTAATGCATCACTCTTTGATTGGCATGTACCAACTCTCAATCTTTTCATTTTCCCAAATAGAGAAAAGTGTACATCAGATTGAAGAACAATAAAAAAAAGGCCTTGTCTTACCCCACAAAATTATCTTAAATTTATATATATTCAAAAGATGCCTACATATAGCCTTGGA